ATTTCACATTATTAATTGTCTCATTAGGATCCTGTGTACTATTATAGTTTTTCATACCAAAGAAACTATTTGGTATTTCAGTTAAAGAAATCTCTGTATGAACATTAAAAATAGGGAATCCTAAAATAAAACTAACCAGCCCGCCCACCGCGGGCGCTCTGGACGCAGGCCTGGGGCTTTCCGTGCCAAGGCAGCCGCCTGCCCGGGAAAATCCCGGCCCCCTTCCCGGCGTCGCAGCCCTGCCGGGCAGAGCGGGGGAGGGGATTCCCGGAATCTGCCCGGAGACCGCCGGCGCGTCACTGCGCAGAATCTGACCATATATGGGTCACACTTCCGCTGCGTCAGAGGGGAAAGCCCCGGCGCGAGAGGAGGGCGGGGCCGCGCCTGCACACTGCGAGTCTAGCCCGGGGTGGTTGATCGACTCCCTCTTCAGGTGACCCCCGGGTGCTGAGCGGCAGGACCCAGCCTTGCCCTCCTACCTTCTTACCTGGGAGGTCGGCCGAGAGAACCGGAGGCCCGAGCTGGGGTCAACAGAGGCCCAGGCAACGCTGACAGGGGCCTCAGATACAATAGCAGCGAGACACAAACAGCAGTTGGGGGGGCACCTATTACTCTCCTTCCTCCACCCGCCCGGCTTGGAAATAAAAAAAAGGCCACAATTTAATAAAGAATCAGTTTTTTACTTAAATAGATTCAATAAAAACATACGCGCACACACACAAACACATCTTAAAATAAACTCTTTAGATATCAAGTGCGTGTTTCTGCCCACAGTAGAGTGCAGAGGGGGGAGGGCAGGGGGCGGGGACCCCCTCCCCAGTGTCCCCGCGGGCTCGAGTACCGGGCGGCGGGGCCAGCTCCGCCGCAATCGCCCCCTTCTCCCCTCCCTGTTAAATACACAAATATATTATATTCAATATGAATCGAGTCCGTTTCCAAAAGAAAAAAAATACAAAAAAAAAAAAAAAAAGCATGGAAGTGGGGAAACTGTAAACGTCGAGGTGAGGGCTGGGCGCGGGGCGTGGGCAGAGTCCAGTGTGGCTGGCGGTGCCCACTGCCGGCCCCTCGCCCAAGGAGGCGTGCGCCCAGCAGTCCAGGCTGGAGTCTCCGTAGGGGGGGCGCTCAGAAGGCGTGTCCCTTGACCCCCAAGAGCAGCTGGCAGCCGTTGCTCACGTGGGTCATGACCTTCTGTTTGAGCTGGGCCACTTGCTCCCGGAGCAGCCCGGCGGTGCTGGACAACCCCGCGTTCTCGGCCTTCAGTGTCTTCACCTTGTCCTCCAGGCGCGCGATGCGCTCCAGCTTCCGCTTCCGGCACTTGGTAGCCGCCAGCCGGTTCCGCAGCCGCTTGCGCTCCACTTTGATGCGCTCCTGGTCTTCCATGTTGATGGGGGACACAGGCGGCGTGGCGTCGCGGCTGCGCGCCTCAGGCACGGTCTGTGGTTCCTCCTTGAAGGCGGAGGCGCCGCGACCCAAGCTCAGCTGCGCCGGGTGGCCGC